CAGGTGTTAGCAAACCTGGAGTCCAATCAATAAAACAAGAATGGAGGTGTGGTTTAGAACCTCTTCCACTTATAAAAACACTCAAACAGTGTCAGTGGTCTATTCACAAGCAGCATCAGCTGATGTGAGCCATGTCTCGCTAAAAAGAGATCTCAGAAGATGTATAGCGTCATCTCATATACCGCTTTCCCACCATAAGTACCATGCATATGTTTTTTAAACTTGGCTAAACCGGCCTTTAACTAGCTTCTGATGACTTTCCCACTGCTGACCGACCCTGATCGGTTCTCCAGCAGACAAGCTTGTTTCCCCTCTGCTGCGTCATATTTGACGTCATCACATTGGTGATGTCAGATACGTGTGCCGGTAAACAGAGTTGTAAAGAAAGCAGCATGGATTCTGGTGAGACAGTCAATGTTATTTCTTAAAATTTACTTTTGTTCATCTTCCAAAGTACAGAAACTCAACGTAGACTGAACCATACCATCAAAAGCTGAGGTATGGTGAGTTTAGATGGGTTTTTGGGCAGTGGGAAAGGGGCTAAATAATTGAGATATTCATCAGTCCATTGTTAGAGATACTGTCTATAAATGGAGATGATTTGGTACTCTGACTACTCTCCATAGAAGTGGGTGCCCAGCCAAGATCACTCCAAAAGCACAGCGCAGAATACTCAGTGAGGTAAAAAGAACCCTAGAGTAACAGCTAAAGGCTTGAAGGATTCATTGGAGTTGGTTAACGTCTCTCCTCATGAGTCAACCATATGCAAAATATTGAACAGGCATGGTATCCATGGCAGGACACCACAGAGGAAGCCATTAAACAACATTGCAATATGTCTGAAGTTTGCCAAAGACCACTTTGATTCTCTACAACACTACTGGGAAAAAGTCCTGTGGACAAAGGAAACAAAGGTCGAATTGTTTGGGGAAAAACACACAACACTACATATGGCATAAAAAGAGAGCCACATACCAACATGAAATCATCATCCCAATGGTGAAGTATGGTAGAGGGAGCATCATGATTTGGGGCTGCTCCGCTGCCTCTGGACCTGGACCGCTTGCCTTTTGGAGTGGCCCAGTCAGAGCCCAGACCTCCACCCAATAGAGATGCTGTGGAGTGATCTCAAGAGAGCCATTCACTAGATGTCTCAAGAATATTGCCACAGGTGGTTCAACCAGTTATTAAAACACTGTTGCCATTACTTTTTCCACCATCACTTTGTATGTTGGGTGTATTCAATAAAGACATAAATGCTCATGACTGTAATTTATCAGCATAGAAATACTGTGGTTGTTGATATTTGTGACTTTGGTGTAGATCAGATCACATTTGTACCATTTAGCTTTATCGTAATCACTTTGACTTAGTTTTCTTATTCTTTTTAGTCTATTTTTACTCTACTTTTGTTCTATTTTAGTTTTCTAAATGGTATGCTATTGAATACTAGTTGAGAGAGAAACGATATTTCAATTTTCTGTATGTCCTGCACATGTAGTGAATTGCCATCTTGATCTTGATTTCATGACCAATTTATGCAGAAAACCTGGAAATTGCAAACAGTGCCATTACTTTTTCTTGCGACTGTATCTCGAACTACTGAGCTAAAATTAAGCTTGGCACATTACTCATAAGCATGTGTTTGAATGTAGCTAAAGCTCCTATTTGTAGAATATTGTAGAATATATGTGCAGGACTATATTGCTAGCAATACAAACAGCAATACATTGTTTGCTCCCATAGTAAACATTTTTTAATAAACATTTCTTCCTTTGTTAGTAGCCAGAATAGTTAGTGTAGTGTTACCCAGCCTGGTAACAGATGTGAATTAACTTAAATGCTAGTTTGTTACTTGTATATTGTTACATTATCCATTACCATTGGCACTGATTACACATATGTTTAATTGATTTCATTAATAAAATATTTTTATTTGGAAATCCAAAACATTCCTAATTTATTATCAAATTCCAAAATCAGACATTGAGTTTTTAAAAACATTCTTTTTTTTTTTTTAAAGAGGAAAAGCATTACTGCACAACAGAATAATGTGAAAAGAATTATCTACTGGGTGGTGACTTCAGTGAGTAACATCATTTTTCTTTCTTTTTAATTTGACTTGACTTTAGTTAACTTTGGGTTACATTCATTCCCTACCTTATTATTCTAGCTCATTATCATCCCCAAATGAAGGGATAGATGAGATCATGCTTCTGAGCTCATCCAGGACTCCCTGCAAGTTGTCTGCTGCCTCCCTGACTGACTTGACAAATTTCATAAGGTCAGACCTGGCTTGAGTGGTTTTTGAGGAAGACTGTCTAATGTGGTGTATCTCTTTAGCTTCCATGGCAATGAAGAAGAGGTCTATTGCTATAAATAAAGCTGAAAACACACCTGTTAACTTATCTGCCACACGTACTGCTTTTGTTGCCTGTGCTGCGATCTTGCCAGTGCTAATTGCTTGAACTAGTCGAATCAGTTTAGGAATCGCATCTAGCGCCTTCCCTGCCCTTAGGCCAAGCCGTGCCAGTTTCTCATCACTGAAACTGCTATCCATATTGTCAGGTATATCAGCTGACTGAAATGTGTTTTTGATTGCCTGTAAGCTGTTGCAAATCGCCTGGAGCCAGGTGACTACTGCATTAATTTTCTCTTCAAACTCTTTAATGATGCTTCGAACAGCTTTGCGATCAGAGGACTGGTTAACCATGTTTGTGATGTTCGAGGCACCAGCAGCGACACCACCAACTGTACTCATACCCATACCAACTCCACTTACTATAAGAGAGGCTCCCAAAGTGAATGGGGCCAGTATAATGCCCACTATAGATGTAATACCCCCCACCGCTCCAATCACATTTCCTGCCAAACTCCCAATGGTGGTGCCCTCATGTACACGCTCCAGATCATCAGCCACAGTCCTTAGCTTTGTCAACTTGTGCTGGAGATCCTCCACAGTTGTTTTGCTCTGTTGAAAAGGCAAAGACATTATTAAGTGTGGTTACACATACCTTAAGGCGCCCCATCATGCTGGATATAGTTCAGTGTGAAACACCGCTGTTCAGTGTGGTGGAAAGTTACTCTTTAAAGTTCCAATTGATCAAGGGGGCACAAATCCTATTAAGAAGCTACTGTACAGGCCCAGTCAGAAGTATATTTTTTCCAACATTACCTGGGTAAGAAGGGTTTATCTGTAACAACACTGGAAATAAGGCAGCAGGATTCTCATCAAAATGAGAAGCGTTTTTTTCCAGTCAGGTTTGAGATCCTGATTTTCTCAGGGGCACCATTTTTTTAACAACTAGAATTACCTCTTCATGGTTCTTTGCCTCTGCCAACCAGTCAAATTTACAGGTAGGGGTCAGAAGTGAGGTCACTGACCTTTGATAACCAAAATCAAATAATTTTCTTTCTTGAGTCCAAGTGGACACTTGTACCAAATCTGAAGAGATTTTCTGTAGATAGTGCATTCACAAGAATTGTACACACGGGCAGACAGCCCAGAAAGATAATGCCTTTGGCTTTGGTTATCACAGTTGTGTAGGCATAAAAAAATTGAATTGCGATCCATACTGTCTTTATGTGGACACAACAAATAGTATGTAATCACTACTGGTAAATGACACATTGCCTTTTTCTATTGATATGCAGCTGCATGAAATGTTAAGAACTACTGTGGGGACCCCAAAATTGATAAAATGTAGTAAACACCTTCACTTTCCAATTTTTTGCTCTTATTACAAATTTAATAATTTACTAGGGGTGTGATGATCATGAGACAAGATGATATTTTAACACTTTCTAAATCTTAAGTGATGAAATATGTGACTGTGAAAAGAGTTTGTATTCAACTGTAAGTCGCAAAATGCAAAACAACATAGTTAATGCCACACTTTTAAGTGTTTGATTTGAAATTCATTGTGGTGGTGAACAGAGGCCAAATGCCAAAAAACACATTGTTCTAGTATTCATGAACCTGACTGTATAACTAAACATTTTGTTTTACAATATAATTACAGTATCTTATGATTTTCACATGCAGTTGCTTAGTAATATATATGCTTTTGTCTGTTATCATCATCTTTAGCTTCACTTTTAGGAAGAAAATTGTGAATGTTTATTGCAGGTTGTCTTCCTGCTAATGTAAACATAGTAACACTGCAGCCCTGAATGGAAAATTCAGAAGATTTAAAAAAAATTATGTTGGATATACATATATAGTGTGATCTGGAAGAATGAGTTTAATACTGGATTTATGGAAGTGTCATACCTTTTTTGAGAGGCAGCTTAATATAAAGGGATGCTGCAGGATGTCACTGGCTGTTGGTCTTGACTCAGGGTCTCTACTGAATATGTCATTCAAGAGTTGGTGAAGCTCTGGTGAGAACTGCTCAGGGAGGGATGGGTAAGGACCATGAAGTATCATGGGTGTGAGGATGACTATGGACTCGGCTGAAAACTTAAGAATTGTTGTTAGAAAACACTTATTAATGATAGTAATAACATTACTTTCCTCATTACTAATGTACAAAATAAACATATTACCCATCAGTATAGTTTTATGTTACTCTCTGTAGGTCATGTTATTCCATGTCTAAGATTAGTATTTTATTTTTCTTGTCTGAAAGGCAAACAGAAAGAAATAATCTGCCATAGACACAGAAAGCATATTAACCATACATTGGGAAATTAACTGTAAGTGGAGGGTTTTAATAAAAGTTTCATTGTGGATGTAGTAAATTTGTGATTGTGTTTACTGCCATGGAATGGTGATCCTGACCTGGATGTGTTTGCAATTAAGTCACAAGTATTGGTGATGCACAAACAGTGTAGTACTGCATGGTTTGAGAAAAACACTGTGGTTAGACCTCATGAAAGGTGAAAAACACTCTCAGTATTTTCGCTACATACACCAGTCTGATAGCTGGGACTATGTATATATGTATATAATGCTTGTGGACACTGTCTGTCGAAAACACACAGAGAGAGCCCCTGTACCGGAGACAAATTTGTTGTATACAAAATTTACTTGGCCATTAAAGCTGATTCAGATTCAGAAAGATTGTAAAGACACGTTTTAATCAAATAGTTCAATCCTACTTCTAAGTTTCTTGCGGCTGTTGAGCTGGTCAACACTGGATGTTTCCTGATAGAGAAGTTATTTGAGGAAATGGAGTCTGCCATACAGTGTGGAATTAAGTCACAAGTGTATACTCGGTATACTTATTTCATTCATGAAAATGCAAATTACTTCATAACTTTTTTTGTAATGCATTTTTCTGGATTTTTTTTGTTGTTGTTGTGTCTCTTACTGTTCAAATAAACCTACCATTGAAATTGTAGACTGATCATTTCTTTGTTAGTGGGCAAACTTACAAAATCAGCTGTGGTTCAAATAATTTTTCCCCTGACTGTATTTTCTTAAAACAATTGGCTTTACATAATATTATACATAATATTGATAAAGTATAGCGTGTTCTTTACTGGTACATATTTTACTAGACAATACTAGCTAATTATGTTTGTATTTTTAATCTCATTCATGTTTTGATTACATATCTTTGCTAAGTTGTTCACCTTTGTGTGACTTACCGCTGCTTTTTGAGTACAAAGCTGATACATTAGGCATCCCAGTGACCAAATATCACTATAAATAAAGCAGAAAAATATTATCATGGTAGTAGTAATAGAAGTAGTAATATAAGTACAAAAGGCATTAAAAATGTCAAATGCTGATAATGAAGCAGGTAACAACAATAGGCAAATAATTGAATTAAATAAATTAAATTTAAAAAATCATTTTTCAGCTTATTACAGTTGCAGTAAGACAAAGCAACCCCAAATCTTTGGTTTGTTAAAGACTGCAGCCATTACTCAACAAGCCAGTACATTTGGCTGGATTTTTCACTATAGCAAGTATATGTTTTATTTGATAAGGTGATAAGTACAAAGGTTTGCTGTTCATGACTGCTCATTATTCACTTGTTGAAAAGAGTATACCTTTTTTTTAAATGTGGTTTTTGCTGCTTAAAATAAAAAGCTGCTGTGAATTAACACTCACCATTTTTAATTGTTTAGGCTAAATACATACTGTACACTTTAATTTTTGCATAGTTTTTCAAACAGAAACAAAATTAAAATTAGCCTAACTAAATATGCTCTGAATTGCACTGTATCGTATCGAGGTACAGTATTTAATCTAGGTATCTAATTGTGACACTCGGTATTTTTGTTATTTCATATACTCAATAATGTAAAAAAATAAATTGAGTCATCAGTAGTAAAAATTATCATTCATTGGAGCCAAAATATTGGCCCCCCAAAACCTGCAAGAACCTAGGAAACAAACACTAGTGTTGTCTCAAGTAAATTTCTCATTTTGGTAAAAACCTTTTTTACCTTTTAGCATCATAGGTCTGCTTTGTGAAGAACTCTGGCGCCATATAACTCATTGATTTTGGCGAATCTGAATTTGTGGCTGACCTGGACGATTTTCTACTGGGTGGTAAAAACAAACAAAAATAAAACAAACACATGAATATTATGCACACAAACAAACACGCACATACATATTTGTACCTTTCTATAGTTGTGAGTACACTCAGTGCACTCCCTTTACCATCACAAGTAAATGCCTAACTGCAGCCTTAACCCTAATACTAACTTAAACCTAATTTTGAGGGCCGACAAAAATGTCCTCACAACAGCACTGAACAAATCTTTGTCCACACAATATAATAATGTTTCCGTAGTTTTATTGATATATGATGTGAAAAGTAACAAGTAAAACCTATGCAGCAAACAGCCATTAAAAATGAGCCTTTGTTCAAATGTTACTACATTGTGACTTATTTCATGACCTATTCCAAAATGTTCGTCTTGTGTTTCTTGAAGTAGTTCACAGTGGATTTTGAAGTCTGCTTTTGATCATTGTCCTGTGGTAGAATCAGCCTCTTTTCAGTTTTAGATTTTGACTGACTGCATGACATTTACATTGAGAACCTTTTGGTTTTCAGTGGAATCCATTTGTTCCTCTCTGGTACAGTGTTGCTGTCAAAGTGTCCAAACCTGTGCACATTCCACAATTACTGCGTCTGTCTGTCTGAAGTTCTTACACTAAAAAGTCAAGTCAATATTATAATAACAAAATCACAAATTTGCCTTCAGGGCCTTCACAATCTGTAAAGCATAAAGTAACTTTTTAGGATTAGGGCAATTTGTAATGTGTGTTTGTTAATTTTCTCTCTTGAAAAAGCAAACCAGTTTCCCAAGGATGTCCAAACTATTGCGCACAAACATACACCTTAGTATATTACCCTATAAAATATTAAAACAGCAAAAAGACTGTACTTTTTATGGGCTTTTTGAAATCCACCCAGTATGTATTTATATTTGATATGTTTATATTTGTTCCTATTTGAAGCATCAGAAGTGTTGTTGTTTGTGTTACTTTGTGACATCTACAGTAGCTAATCAGCAACATGTTTGCAGTGCTCAGCAAGGAATTAAAAAAACGTTAAAAGTTTTACAATAGTAAAGAAATGTTTCGCTGCATGCTGTCACAGAGAATAGGGATGCATTCTGTTACACAATGTTATTAAAACTGTGTGTCCAGCAGAGAGAACTCTGTACAAACGCACAGACATGTTGCATCTTTGCTCTCACTCTTTCTTTTGACTTTAATCACATCTTTATTTTCTGTGCAGTTTTTATTGTACTTCCTCGTTTCTCATTTCCTCTACAGTTCTATCAACTCAGGCTACCATCGTCACTGTTGGTAACATTTGTAGCTTTGCTATATTTAAATCCAGTTTCCTCTTCCTAACATTAGTTATGGACATAAGATTCACTTAAATATGATACATATTTAAAATAAGTTTTGCATGTCTCTCACAGTGAAGCTGTTTGTCCTTTATTTTGTTGTTGGTGGTGGGTAAACTAATAAGCTTAGCTCTAGGATGTTTAGCTCAGGTTACAGTTTAAAACTGACACTATAATTTCTACATCTACATCATTTGTTTACAGTTAAACTGTCTGGTTACTTAAAGTTAATCCACACCTTCCAAAC